CAGTCTCGTTACTTCCGGCTCCTCCAGATAAACGGCGCTATGCGGACAGAGTGAACGTGATTGTGGTGGATGAGAAGTATAAACATTGAGCATCCAGACACCCGATTGGTTTTCTCCGCGATGCGCCGGCAGATCGGAGCGACACCGGGTGGGAAAAGTGGTCGGTGGAAAAGTTGGTATTTAGCGACACGGACCCTCCTCCTCTTCCTCCTCCTCTTCCTCACGCAGAGTCCATGTAACGTTAGATGAACATCTTCATCACCGTGGGTTTGCACAGCGACTTGCAAGCAGCGTATTAAATAAAGTGATGTGTGTCTATAAACGGTGTGTAATTCTAATTATCTTTCTACAATTAAGGTTCATACAGAACAAACAAGACTGGAACAAGTCAAGATAAAATATAAAAACATTTGTCCAGTTGATAAGTGCTCAGTTTGCAAATGGTGTAGAAATAACTTCTAAGAACATTTGATCTAAACTGATTTAAGCAGTTAAGAGGGCTCATTTGTCTGGCGGGGGGCACCAGCACCAGGCTGAGGAAAAGGCAGCCTGTGATGGAAGGGGTCCAGGGTGGGACAGCTACTGACTGTGCTCCACCTGCAGAACCTGCCCTCTTCATACGTGCTACATTCTCCAGTACATTGTCGGGATCTCCGATCCCCCCGAGTTGGTTGGTGAGAAGGATCACAACACGTTGATCAATTAAAGTAAAAAAGTTAACATTTATTTAGAAGAGAAAAAGATGACATGAGCAACTCGCCGCAGATATATCTGGCTCTAACTATTGCTTGCAAGCAGGAGGTCGAACACACAAGCACGTATTTCAGCGTTGGGTGTAAATGGCGTCTCCGAGCGGTAAAAACGCTGAGTTTTTATACACATGTGAAGACCATCCTCAGTGCCAGGTACGAGAAGCAAATAAGATATGAACCAAGGCCACGAACAGAAGTCCCTTGTATCGAAGCGTCTATGAGATCGAGATCGAGGCCTTCTCAGGACACAGCTGCAAACCAACATTTTGTATCATGCTGCTCTTGACTTGCCGAACACACACTTCTGACAGTACGGCAAATAGTGCCTTTATTTACAGGTTCGGCATATAAAGACATGCCGCGCCATACGGAGCATGTGTGGGATGGTGAGATGGCTTCATGCTGGTCTGATCTGTCCAAACATCCTCTCATGTCTGAAAGCGCGTCTCAATATCAGTGCTTCTTCATCCAAAACGTGGTTCAGAAATGGGCATCACGGTGCAGGAAGACACACAGGTGAACAGGACTTTATATATCGGCCTCATCACGTTTACAATTTTTCACTCCTCAGTGTCTTTAAAAGAAAAACAAAATTGTGATTAGTCTAGAGTAAGATGAATTAGTGATTTTTTAAAAATACATAGACCGCTCTAATATATATATAAATATGCCTAATATATATATTAAAGCGGTCTATGTATTTTAAAAAAATCACTAATTCATATATAAATATAAAACCACACAAAGTGAGTTTTGTTGTATTTTCCATCCGTTGTCATGGAGTCCACTCTATGACACGGGCTGCATTTCCATGACAACGGAATTGTGACATCATCAACAAATCCTTTGATGTGTCTCGGAACACTAGATCATTGCGTTTCTGGTTCCAGAAGAGTGCAGTTGGATATTTTCTCTCGAAAGTATCTGCGATATTTGTCCTTTACAGACTTAAGTAGTTCTTTGAAAGATTCATCACCATTTTTCAGAGGTTACATCGAGTCATTTAGCGACAAATAGAACAAAAGTCTTTTTTAAGACTACACCCCTTTTCAGGGGTGACCAACAGTCTTTTTCAAGACTACACAAGTGTCATTTAACATGTACCGTAGAAACAACCAGAGAATTGGAGCTGGCGCTTCACTTCTCGGGACTCCTCCCACCGGATACAATGTGAACATTGCACTTTCTCATGCACGGAATGAAGTGCACTGCCTGAAAAGGCAAGTGAGCGAACTCACCGCTCACACTGAAACTGTGAAGTTCAAATTGACCGAACAACTCGTTGTCAAAAATGCTGAACTCATGGCCAACAACAAGACCTGGCAGCAGAAATATGAAGATCTGGAGAAAAGGACAACCAAGAAACTGGATGACCAACAACAGTCATTGGAGTCTAAAGTAACAGGGTTACTCTCCACCAACATTTCTCTTCAAGAGAAGCTGCACAAGCAGCAGGCCAACAACCAACAGTTGGAAGCAGAACACAAACTGCTGAAGATCAAGACAGAGGCTCTGGATGAGACTATCAGAGAGAACGAGGGTTTATCTCTGAAGCTCACCGAGACCACAAAACAACTTTCTGTCAAAAGTGCTGAACTCACGGTCAACAACCAGACCTGGCAGCAGAAATATGAAGATCTGGAGAAAAGGACAACCAAGAAACTGGATGACCAACAACAGTCATTGGAGTCCAAAGTAACAGGGTTACTCTCCACCAACATTTCTCTTCAAGAGAAGCTGCACCAGCAGCAGGCCAACAACCAACAGTTGGAAGCAGAACACAAACTGCTAAAGATCAAGACAGAGGCTCTGGATGAGACTATCAGGGAGAACGAGGGTTTATCTCTGAAGCTCACCGAGACCACAAAACAACTTTCTGTCAAAAGTGCTGAACTCACGGTCAACAATGAGACCTGGCAGCAGTTGGAAGCAGAACACAAACTGCTAAAGACACAGAGGGATTCTCTGGATGCTTTAATAAAGAGCCAAGAGGAGACCCACCACAAGATGGTCACAATCAGTGATTTCACTGAGTTGTGCCTGATCTCTAGGATCCAACAACTGGAGGGTACCATCTCCAAAGAACATCAGATCCTTATCACCAGGATCCAAGAATTAGAGGACGACAAAACAGTCCTTGAAAACATCTGCCTCGACTTAAAAAAAAAAAAAAGAGGCATCTTTGGGAGACGGATGCAAGACCGGCAGACGGAGATGGACAAAATGAGGCGCAAGATGCAGGACAAGGAGACAAAGAAATAGGAGAGAGAAGAGAAGAAAAAGGAGACCATTCAGGACCTGTAAGAACACCTTCCTTCACCTCCCACTCCATCCTACCTTATCCATCTACCCCCGCTCCCCTTCCACCTGCGCTTCACAGCGCTAAATACCCCGGGCATGGACCGCCTCCTCATTCATTGGTAAATATCATTGCCATTGTATAGTTTATTCCCTTTGCTCCAGGAAGTGTTTTTTTCCACCTTCATGGACTGGACAGTAGCACGGCACGGCCTCTGAGGAATGAGGAATCTTTTTCATCTCATCCATTTCCTTCTTTGGTTAATGCAAGGCTGCAGATGAAGATGAGGGGATTTCTGTATCTGCGCATATACCCTGAACCCGGCCATTTGGCCGGTGTTTGGATGAACTACCACGGCTGGGTTGACGAATCAACAGTGACAACTTGTGAAGGTAGACCGATAGTTTCATTTGTCCGTCGTTGGAACTTGGGATCTCGGTTTGATTTTTCAAGTTATGCATTAGGAAAGGTTGACACACATGTCCCCCTCTATAGTTTCAATGATGCCATGCCAATATATAGAACATATTTTCATACTTCATATTTGTAATATCATAGATAATAACAAGATAATATAGGACTAATATCATATAGCATTATGTAGGACTAATATAACAAACATAGTATTATACTTCATATTTCTAGTATCATAGAAGATTATATAGGACTAATCTCATATAACATAATATAGGACTAATATAACAAACATGGCATCATACTTAGTATTTATAATATTATATAACTTAATATCATATACAGTGTTTTCCATAGCGCCCCAACACCCACGCCCCCCTCCGGTACGTCCGCCCCCCCCAAAGTTGGAAACCTAGGGGAAACACTGATATGACATAATATAGTAGAACTAATATAGGAGACATGGCTTTATACCTTATCTTTCCAATATCATAGGACATAATATCGTAGAACGAATATCATAAAATAGCATCGTATTCCATAGTTCAAATATAATTTAACTTAATACCGTAGAACTAAAATAAAATAGCATCGTATTCCATAGTTTTAATATAATTTAACTTAATACCGTAGAACTAAAATAAAATAGCATCGTATTCCATAGTTCTAATATAATTTAACTTAATACTGTAGAACTAAAATAAAATAGCATCGTATTCCATATTTCTAATATAATTTAACTTAATATCGTAGAACTAATATCATAAAATAGCATCGTATTCCATATTTCTAATATAATTTAACTTAATATCGTAGAACTAATATCATAAAATAGCATCGTATTCCATAGTTCTAATATAATTTAACTTAATACCGTTGAACTAAAATAAAAGAGCATCGTATTCCATAGTTCTAATATAATTTAACTTAATACCGTAGAACTAAAATAAAATAGCATCGTATTCCATATTTCTAATATAATTTAACTTAATATCGTAGAACTAATATCATAAAATAGCATTGTATTCCATAGTTCTAATATTATTTAAATTAATACCCTAGAACTAAAATAAAATAGCATCGTATTCCATAGTTCTAATATAATTTAACTTAATATCGTAGAACTAATATCATAAAATAGCATCGTAATCCATAGTTCTAATATAATTTAACTTAATACCCTAGAACTAAAATAAAATAGCATCGTATTCCATAGTTCTAATATAATTTAACTTAATATCGTAGAACTAATATCATAAAATAGCATCGTCTTCCATAGTTCTAATATAATTTAACTTAATACCGTAGAACTAAAATAAAATAGCATCGTATTCCATAGTTCTAATATAATTTAACTTAATATCGTAGAACTAATATCATAAAATAGCATCGTATCCCATAGTTCTAATATAATTTAACTTAATACCCTAGAACTAAAATAAAATAGCATCGTATTCCATATTTCTAATACCATTTAACATAACATAGAACTAATATCATAAATATAGCATTATAGTTTAATATATAACATAATATCTTATTAAAATATCATAAATATAATTTAACAGATGCTATTTTTACCACTAGCCATGCCTTCAATACAAAGTATAGAGGGGGACATGTATGTCTACCTTGCCTAATGCATAGCTTGAAAAATCAAACCGAGATCCCAATTTCCAACGACAGACAAATGAAACTATCGGCCTACCTTCACAAGTTGTTACTATTGATTTGTCAAACCGGCTGTGTGAGGTTATCCGAACATTGGCCAAATGACCGGGTTCAGGGTATATGCGCAGATACAGAAATCCCCTCATCTTCATTTGCGGCCTTGCATTTCGCCAAAGAAAGAAATGGATGAGATGAAAAAGATTCCTCATTCGTCAGGCGCTGTGCTCTGCTACTTTCCAGTCAATGAAGTTGGAAAAAAACACTCACTGGAGCACTGGGAATAAAATATACCCATTTTCATGATTACAGATTGAATGAAGAGTTGGGTCCTCAAATGCCAAAAAGTTATATTTTATTTTTTTTACTTTATTTTTAAATTTTTCTTTAAATTTTTTTTTTAATTTTAAAAAGTTATATTTTTTTTATTTTATTTTATTTTAAAAAGTTATATTTTATTTATTTTTATTTTATTTTAAAAAGTTA